TGAAAAGATGGCTTGGATGTGAAGCAGAAGCATCATCAAGAAAAGCTCCCACAATGTAGGGGCAAGTGTAGTTTGACAAACTCTGAATGATCAAAGAAGTCATCTGATTGAGTTTTAGAGAAAGAATCTTAGAATATTTTGTTCATGATTATCTTGTGATCATTTTTTTTGACACTTTCGTTTCAACTCAAACACTTTGACATACACTTGTTATCAGCCATATGAAATACATTATCTTTCATTTGAAAATAATGTCTATCTATTCCTTTATCCTTATCTGATATTTTTTGTTAATCGTACAAGTGAATAAGAGAAATGTGTGATTGCATTTTATTTGTCTTGAACTTAAAATGATGAAAAGAAAAAAAAAATAAAAGATCTCAGTGTTACTTTTAAAGTTGACAAAGGCAAATGAAAAAGGATGAGAAAAGCATGACAAGACATTGATGTTGCAGACTTTTGAAGAAAAAAAATATTATGGTCAGATGTTAAGGACACATTGGTCATATAAGAATTTTAATAAAAGAAGCCAAAAGTGAGAGATTTTGAGAACCTTTTTACTACAATGAATGATTTTGATTGCATTACATGCATTGCATTATTAGCACTTAATACATACATCCATGATAAGTTGTAACAAAGATAGAAATTTTCCATTTCTTAATGAAAAACAAGATTTTGGTAAAGACAATGATCAAACAAAGGAATTCAAAAGAGAAAAATTTATTTGTTCAAAGATGAGAACTCAAATTTGAAAATAGATGAGAATTTTAAAGTTGTTGAGCATTTGCTGAGAGGAGCCCTTTTCAAGATATGAGATTTTTAAAGTTATTGAGCCTCTGTTGAGAGGAGCTTTTTCAAGAGAATTTTAAAGTTGTTAAGCCTCTATTGAGAGGACCTTTTTCAAGAGATTTTTAAAGTTGTTGAGCTTCTGTTGAAAGGAACTTTTCCAGAAGAGAATTTTAAAGTTGTTGAGCTTCTGTTGAGAAGAACCTTTTCAAGAGATTTTTAAAGTTGTTGAGCCTTTGTTAAGAGGAGCTTTTCCAGATGAGATTTTAAAGTTGTTGAGCCTCTTCTGAGAGGAGCCTTTTCATGAGATTTTTTTTAAAGTTGTTGAACCTCTGCTGAGAAGAGCTTTTTCATGAGATTTTTAAAGTTGTTGAGCCTCTGCTGAGAGGAGCTTTTTCATAAGATTTTTTTAAAGTTGTTGAGCCTCTACTGAGAGGAGCTTTTCCAAGAAGAGATTTTTAAAGTTGTTAAGCCTCTGCTGAGAGGAGCCCTTTTCAAGATATGAGATTTTAAAGTTGTTGAGCCTCTGTTGAGAGGAGCTTTTTTAAGAGAATTTTAAAGTTGTTGAGCCTCTGTTGAGAGGAGCTTTTTCAAGAGATTTTTAAAGTTATTGAGCCTCTGTTGAGAAGAGCTTTTCCAAAAGAGAATTTTAAAGTTGTTGAGCCTCTATTGAGAGGAGCTTTTTTAAGAGATTTTTAAAGTTGTTAAGCCTATGTTAAGAGGAGTTTTTCAGATGAGATTTTAAAGTTGTTGAACCTCTACTGAGAGGAGCCTTTTAAACTTTCAAAAATATCAATTTAACCTCTGTTGAGAGAAGCCCTTTTCTGTCGAACTAAAAAAAAAATTTTATTTTTCTCTTTTTCTTTCTCAATGTTTCATCTTTCCAAACAAAATGGTTGTTTGTTTGTCTTTGCCTTATTCCTAATTCACAGAAATAGGCAAAGAGGGGCAACTGTAAACATTATTTTTTTTAATTATTATTTTATTTTATTTTATTTTTTTTCTTCTTCTCTTTCTTCCCGTTTTTACGTTTGTCTTCTTCTTTCTTTCCTCCATCCTTTTCCCTTCTTCTTCATCCTTATCCGATTCAAATCTAGTGCATTAAATGCATAATCCCTAAAGTTAAAATCATCGTCGCTAGCTGCCAACAGCCGACCGACAAGCCGCCAATCACGAACAACAAGTGTGATTTTTCAGTTGAAAAATGGGATTCGAATCTCAGAAGATCTTAGATTTGAATCCCAACGAGCTCTATAAATAGAGCTTGTTATTTGTAAAAAAAAAAAAGAACGAAAGCAAAAACGATAAAAAAAGGGCAGATTCTATCGAAAAAAAATTTACAGAAACATAAAAAAAAAGCAAAATCACAGTCCCCAAGCAGGGGAACCCAGTGCCAAAAAAGCCACTTATAAAAAAAATAAAGAATCAGTCGATTCTGTCCCAAAAAAAAGGGAAACCAAAACTTTGAGCCTCGATCTATGTCGATCAGGCTGTTTCCGGTGAAAAGGAGATCGGATCTGGGAAGATCGTGTCGAAGAGAACCACCAGAAGAATTTTGACATTTTTTGATGATCGAAAACCACCGGTAGCAACTGCCGGCCCAGATGGCTGCCGGCATGGTGGTCCGACGATCGACCGGCGAGCTCACCCCAGAGCTCTCTTCCCTTTTTTTTTTTGAAAAATCGAAAGAATGAACAAAAAAAAATTTTTTTAGTTATTTATAGAAAACGTTAAAAGCAAAACAACGTCGTTTTGAGCATAGGGCCAAAACGACGCCATTTCGGCCAAGAAGGATCCGTGCGTCAACCCGCGACCCGACCCGGGATCCGCGCACCCAACCCACGACCTGCGACCCGCTTCCTTCATCAGCCTCTGATCGGTCCACCCAGACCGAACCAAACCAAACCGGTACTAAACCGCTGAACCACCCAGACCGAGCCGAACTACTGAACCGAACCGCGCGTTAATCGAACTGTTGACCAGTCCGATTCAGGTAAAAAAAATTTTTTTTTGAATTTTTCTTATTTTTATATATTATTTTATTAATATTTATGCATATTAAAATATTTATATTTGTTAGATTAAATGATGAAATTGTGGTTAAATTTTTTTTATATATAATTATGTTAATTTTTTAAAATAAACTTTAAAAACAATAATATAAAAATAAATTTAATAATAATACTAAAGTAATAAAAAATGTAGGAAAAGAAAATTTTTATCCGACGATAGGATTCAAAGGTATTCCGAATAGTGATGCCTACAAAATCTTTAGGTGAGAAAATTTTTTTTAAATACTACCAGTGTATTGGAGTATTTATAAAAAAATTTTCAATACAGTAAAAATTTTTTTTTTTAGTTATAAATAAAAATTGATTAATAAATTAAAAATATAAGCAATAAAATAAGGAAGAAAAGAAATTTAATCCAATGATGAGATTCTAAAAGTATTTCGAGTAGAGATGCTTTAAGAAATCTATAGGTGAAAAGATTTTTTATAAAATATTACCAGCGTATTGAAATATTTATAAAAATTCTTCAATATAATTAAATTCCTTTTTCTTCAAAAGTTCAATTAAAATTAAAAAATTAATAAAACAATTAATAAAATTTTTTAAAAAGAATAAAATGTGTGCATCAACATGTTATTGTTTGCATTGCATACATGATATAATTTTTTACGAAAAGTAAATTAGAGCCTCCGAAGATGAGATTCTAAGGTATTCCGAGAAGCGATGCCTAAGAAATCTCAAGGTGAGAAAAAGTTCTTCTAATGTTACCAACGTATTTGAACATTTTAAGAATTATTTCAATAAAAAAAAATTTTAATTTATTTTTTTCGAGAATTAAATTTTTTTCTAATAAATAAAAAAAAAATCAAGGAAATTAATCTTCAAATACTGAAAATAAGACTATTTTTATCAAAATTGAAGGATAACATGTAATTAATTGATACTGTTTTTTTAACGGGTACTGTAGGGGTGCTAATCCTTCCCTACACGTTACCAACTTCCGAACTCAGACAGTTGCGCAAACCCTAAAATTATCTTTTTAATAAATTTTAACTAATTTTAAGATTTTATTAAAAAGATATGTTTTAATAGGTGGTCAATCGCACCTAATCAAAAAAAATTGGTGACGACTCCGTTATTTTTATTTCGTTTTCAAATTCGTCGGACGGACACAAAACCGTTACGACACCTATCATTCAACAAAAACAAAGCTTGTTCATTTATAATTCAGTGTGTCAAACAAGCTCAAGGCTCGATACAGGAACTAACATGATGGAATACACTAGATTGTGGTTTAAGACATGGATCTTGGGCAGGTAGATATATAGCTTTTGAAAACAGAAAAGGAACAAACATTAGAAGCAAATCAAAGTTAAAGGCTGATTTCAATTACGTGATATTTGTAGATATATGAGGTCCTGCCAGTGACATTGACTCCTAACTCTTTTAGCCCCTTTAAAACTCTAATTATGTAACAAGGTGGGATTTGTCATCATATCCTCAAACAGGATGGTGGAGGACTGGGTACCTTGCCCGGATAAGGTGCCTCCAGTTAGGTATATACAGAAGACAATTTGGTAGTCAAGACAAGCCAGAGTCGAATACACCCCTGTTCTCTTACTTTTACTGGTTGATGGCAAAATTTAAAGGAGTGCGAAATTAGTCAGATTAAAGCAATATTGAAAAACATTGATAGAGATGAAATTGCATAGTTTTCTAGCCAATTTTCTTAAGGTGATGGCTTTCTTTTCCTTTCTAGTTCATGTGCATGACAAATGCTAGAAGATTGGTCATTGCAACCGTCATCATTGCCTCAAATTTACTTTTGTTATCTTAGACCAACATATCTACCACCATGTTCTCCATGCAAATACTGAAAACATAAGAAAGGTTGAGTTCTGGAGCTATTTTGGATGGCCAAAAAGGCATGCACATGCATGAGAATACAAGAAATTTAATCTGTGATAAACACTCCTGCAATTGGCATTTCGTATATAAGTTGAACCAGAAAATGCTCGTTGAGCAACAAGAAGATATAGAATAGACATTTCAAAGAGGGCTGATATGAGCATTCTCGCCAGTGGTCTCGCATAAAATTTGACAAACAAGAAAACATCACATGACATACAAGAAAATAGAATATGAGTTGACAGCAACTCTTATTTGTAGGTACTAATCCATTTATATAACCATAGTAGTTTAGTTGTTCGGATGACTAGGTGACGGAGGCTTCTCCAATGGAGGGTGTCCTGGGTAGTGACCATAAGGTGACTCATATACTGGTGGTTTCTTTGGAGGTTCATATACTGGTGGTTTCTTGGGAGGTTCATACACCGACGTCTTCTTTGGAGGTTCATAGACTGGGGGCTTGGGTTCTGGCTTTTCTTTCTTTGGAGGTGCATAAACCGGCGGCTTTGGTGGCTTAGGTTCATATATTGGTGGCTTCTTTGGAGGTTCATATACTGGTGGTTTGGGTTCTGGTTTCTCTTTCTTTGGTGGTGCATAAACTGGTGGCTTTGGTGGTTTAGGTTCAAACGCTGGAGGCTTCTTTGGAGGTTCATACACCGGTGGTTTGTGTTCTGGCTTCTCTTTCTTTGGAGGTGCATAAACTGGTGGCTTCTGTGGCTTAGGTTCAAACACTGGAGGCTTCTTTGGAGGTTCATACACCGGTGGTTTGGGTTCTGGCTTCTCTTTCTTTGGTGGTGCATAAACTGGTGGCTTTGGTGGCTTAGGTTCATAGACTGGTGGCTTCTTTGGAGGTTCATAGACTGGTGGCTTGAGTTCTGGCTTCTCTTTCTTTGGAGGTGAATAAACTGGGGGCTTAGGTGGCTTTGGTTCTGGTTTCTTCTTCTTAGGAGGCTCATAGACTGGTGGCTTAGGTGGTTTAGGCTCTGGCTTCTCTTTCTTTGGAGGTTCATAGACAGGGGGCTTGGGTGGCTTAGGTTCTGGTTTCTTTGGAGGTTCGTAAATTGGTGGTGGCTTCACCTCCGGAGGTTTGTAGACAGGAGTAGGTGGTTTTCCCATGGTTGGGTGACTCGTAGGTACCAAGGGAGGGAGTAGTGAGAACCACCACTCCAAGGAGCAATACTAGCAAGCGTGCAAGAGACATCATTGAGCTCTGTCTTTCGATGGTGCAATGATAAGTGCTTTTTTATAGTGGTAAGGGAGCCTTTTTGTCAAAAATTTCCCTTGTTTCATACTTTACCAAGTAGTTAGCTAGATCTGTAAATCTTTTATTAATTCATAAATGTAATCGGGTTCATTAAGGTCCCACTTAGTTGAAATTTTGGAGTATTGACACAAGGCCTTATTCATGAATGAAGAAGATTATAAAAGGGTGGCTTTAGCTGCTATATTTGCTTCTCATTCCTTGATTTATGCTCAACAGTCCATCCTAACAGAGATAAGAAGCTTGGGCATGAAAACATCTCAGCAAGAAACTCAAAGTGAAGAGAGTTTTTTAAATAATCCCCTAGGATAAAATTGCACATCTTGTAATATCATGAAAGGTTTAATGTCTTATAAGTTATCAAAAGTTGAATTCTAATTACCGAAATTAAGAGTTCAGCATTCTACCAATGCTACAACAAAGATAACAGAAATGTTTTGATGACAGCAAACTTTCTTCTGGATTGCAAACATTCTTACTAATTTCAAATGTAATGGCAGAGCTATAAGAAAACAAAGCCTATAAGAGAGGTTGATACTGATGATGAATACCCTTTTTCTCTTTCTATTTTGTTTTCAGTTACCAAATTCTGTCTAGTTAGGACTCGGAAATTAAACTTGTTTTTGCATCTAATGATCTTGATTGACTTTAGAAGTAGTATTTTATCCTGCTTGTTGACTGTACCTTGGCTGACTAAGTTCCAGAAACAGCTTTCTTTGATTATCATTGCATGTAATTTTTTTCAATTTCTTTTTCCCTTTTATATCACTTAGAGGTGTATCAGTAGCTTACCACTAAAACCACAGGCAAACTCGAGGACACAATACAGAGGCTTCTACTAAGTTATTTGAATGGTTCAATTCAATTAAGGAGAGAAATTTACTCTATGTTGTGAACTTTAACGCAGCAATCTCGTGAAACGGTGAGATAACCCAGAATTGTCCATCCCACATAGGCGAGAAGATGCTAATTTTTAGCTACTTTTAAGTTGAGGTTGGAAAGGAAGCCAACTACTGTGGTGGTGTGGGGCGCGGAGTAGCCTTGATATTTACAGACCCTACAACAGTCATTTTGGTCGGTGTTTTCTTGGCCACCCTCAACTCTTTTTATTTTCAAATTTCTCTTCGATAATGAATTTGTCTACACTACTAGGGGGTACAATATTTGGTTAGTATTACTCTAATCCCTTCCTATCTAAAATCAAAATAACAGGCAATTCGATCAAAATGACTGTTAGTCTCTCGACCTTTGTACGCAGAAAGTCCTCAACAATGTTTTCATGTGAAAGAAATAGCATTTTCAAAACCTACATGCAGCTTAGTAAGCATATCTTACCTACCATCCTTTTTGTTGAACATGTTTGAAAATTAGATGAATGTTAAAGTGGTAGCTTATCCAATTATTATGTAGCTTTGACCTTGAAGGAACAAAATGTTTAAAATGCATGATTAAGTGTCAATATTGGCATTATTATTGTTTTTTATTTCTGCGACTTTGGTGATGCCTGTTTCCACCAACCAAATCTCCATGCACGAAAAGACAACAAAATCTCTTTGAACTTGATGGTTCCTTGAAGTCGAAAAGCCAAAAGAAAGAATTGGTGGCTTTTCTCCTTGACGAGGCTTTGGAAATGAGGTTCTTCGCACTGCCTTCTTAGTCGGTGGAGGCAAGTGCCCTGGAATGGGTTGTTTTGTTTGTGCTCATGTTGAGTTGGTTTTGTATAATCAACACAAACAAGCGTATGGAGACATCATTGATGGTTCAGAGCTTGAAGAACAAAACCCATTTTATAATGATTTCCGGTCTTGAAGAGCAAAACCCATTTTATAAGCTAAATATGGATCCAAATTATTCCTCCAATGTTTTCATAATAATATATTCGATGCATTATCAGTATATAAATTTTATAAATTAATAATAAATCAAATAATATTATTTTATTAATAAATAAATCAAATGATATTACTTTATTAATAAATAAATTTTTTAATTAATATTGATTTTTTATATAATTTATTTTTAAAATTAATATTTATTTATTAATAAAATAATATCATTTGATTTACTATAAATATAAAATTTATTTATTGCTTGTTTATCATATATGAACTCAACATGTATGAAGTCAAAACAGAGTGTGCATAGAAAAACAGAATTCTATGTACAAATAATATTTGTTCAATTTCAAAAAAAAAAAAAAGTGATTGTGGACTTTTCCATAGAAAAAGCTCATAACATGTTTCATCGAGATCCTGAAGTAGTGAGAACCATACATTATCCTTCAAATATGAGGCCAACAAGTAGACAGCTTCAACTGGAAATTCATTTATTGGGGGGGGTATAGTCTGCATGTCTCAGAACCCAGAAGTTTCCTCTCCTGAAAATAAGCTTTTTGTTTTTGTTTTATATCCTTTGACTAATGCAAATAAATAAAGAAAAATGAATTTGATTTGTTAGTGCACTCCATGTATGTAGCTATCTTCTTGATCGGATTTTTCTTCATCTTTCAATGCATAAGAAATAATGTCCAATGCTTGATTGTTGTTAGGTTTTCTGGGTTGCTTATCTCATATCAATTGTGGAAGGGGATTTGTTATTATAGATTGTGTTCATAAGATCAGAGACAACATGTAAGAGAAGATATGTTACGATAAGACATTAGTTATAGGTGAAGTTAATCGTATAAATTTTTTAGATATTGACTCAAATTTTAATTGGAAATTAATTTGAATTTTAATGAAATTCTATTAATTAAAAAATTAGTTGTTTATTAAGAATACATATTCTTAATAGATAAAAGTTTTTAGTAAATAAACTTTTTTTGTGATCAAGTAATAGAGTTTTATAAATATAAAAGTGAGTATTAACTTTTAGAACTATAAGAAAGATATAGACACCTAATTTTGTTTAAAATAGATTCGAGTTTGTTCGATTTTTATGCTTGATTTGTATACTTCAATTTGGGCTTATTTGAACACTTTAATTGGATATATCTTATCGAGCTTATTTAGGCTTTATTATTTTAAAATTTTTTTCGACATGTATTAAAATCTGATCCAATTTAATTTGGATTGATTTAAAATTGGATAAATCCAAGATCAAATTTTAAAGAACAAATTTTAAAGTTTAACATTTTAAGGCCCAATTTTAGTTTTTTAAATTTAATTATTTTTATTAATTGAAAAACACAAAAAAAAAAAAAAAAGCTTGAAACTTGGTTTGCATGGCAAACCAACTTTCTCAAATCTTCCCCTTAGCTATCTCACCATTTTTAGCAATCTATATTTTACCCCAAATTTCACCTATTCACCTCTAATACCAATTCAGCAAACATTCTAGAGCTAAGCAACCTTCATCTCCCACACCACAAAGGTCCAAATTTTTGAATCTACTTTTTGAAACAAAGACAGTAAGCTTCACCTAGTCTTTGATTGCTAATAAAATGGACATAGGTAAAGATCCACAAGGGATTGGGGAAGGGGGAAAAATAAACAGTAGAAAATTGGTAAAAAATCCCATAAGCTCTATCACCAACTCTTATACAACCTATCTTTACACTCTCTACTTTCAACGAAAACACCCCACCCTTATCCGAGACTACCATCAAAGCACAACACAAAAAAAATCAAGAAGCCCCTCTCGGCCATCAACCAAAAAACAACAAAAGATCCCATAGCCATAACAAAACTTGGGTAACTAGAATCCACCATCCCTTCTCCCTTATAACCAAAAGTACCGCCATCACTTCATGCCTTAAACCACTACAACAGCCTACTAAAATCCATAAAAAATACAATCGAAACCCCTTTTGAATCACAAAAGAACCCCCTACCACAACTCAAAATCACCATCACCATGATCAACCTCCAACACCACAATCAAGTTTTTGTTGCACCTACCACAGCTCTATTCATCTGCACGATAGCCTAACCATCACTCACTTGTACCAACATTTAGCCACCATTTCACCAGCCCTCGACCTCGACAAAGCCAAATCCATTGCAAAACCCTTGGCCATTCACCAAATAGTATACTACAATTTTCACCACTTCCATCTAAACCACCACCCAAACCTAGTTATCACCAAACTTTGCCACACACAACTTAGCCTACTCATAATTACAACAGAACTAACACTGAACCTTTCACCAATGACTCACCTTCAACAATTGATTCATTACCATCACCTTGAACCAACTATTCAATTTTTAACAGGTAAGAGTATTTTGTAAATAAGAATTTGTGGTGATCAAGTAATAGAGTTTTATAAATATAAAGTGAATATTAACTTTTAGGATTATGAGAAAGAAATAAACACCTAATTTTATATGGAATAGATTCGAGTTTGTTCGATTTTTGTGTTTGATTTGAACACTTCTGTAGACATCTAATTTGGTTTAGGTCCAGATCAATTGGACCTGGTTCAAATGGGCAAGATGGGCCTATATTTATTTATTTATTATTATTATTTTGTTTTTATTTTATTTTTATTATCATTATTTTTTTATTTCTTTTATTATTGTTTTTTTGTTTATTATTTATTTTTATTATTTACTATTATATTATTATTTATATTATTATTATTTTTGATTGATTTTATCTTTTCTTGATTAATTAGGAGATAATGATTAGATTAAATAAAAATAATAAAAAAAAGTGGTGGAAGTGGATTTGGATGTGAATTTGAGGGCTAGCAGAGTTGGGATTGGATTCAAAGTTTGAAACTTAATCCATATGAACTTTCTAGATGGAATTGGGATTGATAAGAAACTCTTCCGATCAATTCCTATAAATAAATGCTGAAATAGAACCAAGGACATGAAAAAAATACAACGAAGAGGTGAAACAGAAGCAA